TATATATATATATATATATGTATATGACTTTCGCTGTCATCGTTATAAACGATGAATACGTCGATACACGTACACCGTCTCACGATATATATAATTTACACAAAAAAAAAGAGAAACGTAACTGTACAATGATTACATTCTCGCGCGTTCCCCTTTCAGACGCTCCACACTCACGCACCACAGTCACACACACAGGCACGCCAAGAAACTTCTTTATCACACTCGTCAACACGTCTTCGCTACACTCGGTCCCGCGGGGCGTCGACGCCGCGGGACCAAATGCCGCTCGGAAGGAATCGACATTAAGATTAAAAAAAGGGGAGGAAAAAAACAGAGGATCACTTCGAAGATTGCGGGATAAAAGGAACATAGAGGAGGTCACACGCGCTCTATAATTATAAGTAACGATCACACGTGCGATCACTAAATGCCTAACTGTCTTCGTCTTCTCAGAGCCGCGGTATACGCGCGCGCGTGCGCGCGCACACACACACACACACCCCCTCCCCCTCCGACGGTGAATTTACCGGACCTCCTCGAGCGAGCCGATTCCACCTTTCGCACGTGATATGATATCGAAGATACGAGAGCTACTACCTCGTTACGGCGACTATCTAATGATATGCTTGTTTCTCTCGTAATCGAATATGACGTTTGGGCTTTATAACGTACATTGTGTTATGTGCATACGAATTGTTACAGCGAAGATCAGCGAAATTACGAAAAGAAAGGGAGAAGAAATACCCTAAACCTCTGTACGTATGTATATGTATATGTACGTGTGTGCGTGTGTGTGTAGCTTTCTGCGACTGCGTGTCAAAGTTAAGATAATATAGACGATGGTTCCTTTCCTTCTCTCTTTTTTTCGTCGCTGAAGTGTTGGTTAAATTTCTCCAGCGATACAACAGCTCCGCGCGAAGACGAAAACGACCGACGTTCGGGCCGCGATCCGTAACGTGTATCCTACGTTTCGGAAAACAGAAAAGCAAAGACAGAAAGCAACTCGGAAGCTTGCAGGTACTATGTCTGCGGCGGTGTCGCTAATCAATCGGTTAATTAATTAGCACGCGCGTTACAGACCGTATCGAATCGCTATGCCGGCGACTATAATTGTAGCCGCGATCGATCCTGATATAAATTTACACTTTGGTATACAAATACATATAACCTAATTACGCATATCGCCATTGCGTCCTTCGACGAGCCGAGCTCGAGTTTATAACTATTGTGCAATACACGTTTCAGAGAATCACCGTACGTGCGTCTTCTTCGTTCTCCCGTTTTCTCCCTCTTGCTCTTTCTCTCTCTCACTCTCTCTCGGTCTCCGCGTCTCTCTCTTCACGTCTCGAGAGGCTGTCACAGTAAATATATGTACAATACAATCAGGTACAATAGTAGCGTGAGGAAATTGATCAGTTTAGCTTCTAGGAAGACGGAACGACGGACGGGTAAACGCATAAAGAGAGGAAGGAAGAGGATACAGGGATAAGGTAAAAGAAAAAGAGAGGAAAAGAGAGGAGAAGAGAGGAAAAGAGAGAGAGAGAGAGAGAGAGAGAGAGAGAGAGAGAGAGAGAGAGAGAGAGNAGAACGAAGATCTTTCTCTTCGCAGTCCATGAGATCGTTCATTCGACCGTGCGCATTTCGCCTTTCCTTTCCGACCTATATCAAATTTGCAGAACGATTTTGATTCTTTTTTTTTTTCAACATGTACGGTTCGGGACGCGAGAAGCTTGTATATATATTTGGTCTGTTTGATCAGAGCAGATCTGTAGAATCCGTAGAAATGTCTAATTGACGGAAATGAAGTAGCGGTAGAGTGCGCGTTATACAATGTGCAAATGACCTCTGCGCGACCTATTCGCAAGCGCACAGGGGTGGATCGTAAGCGCGATCGAGACGAGGAAAGTGCATTTCCCACGGAGAGGGAGAGAGACACGCGCTCTCCGTAGTGATAAGCTCAACTGTTCCTCGCGCGCACGCGCCTTCCCTTTCCGACGAGACTGGCGGGGGTCATACAGCTGCATTTTGTGCGTTCGATTGTAGTGGCCAGCGACGTCGGTCGCACGACGACTATTGGTCCGCTTGTTCGCTGATCTCCTCGTTCTCGGACACGGACGGCGACGGCGTCCTGTCGTGGTTCGTGCAGTTCTCCGCCTGGCACTTGCTCTCGGCGATCTCCAGCCAGTGCCGCTTGTTCTCCCTGACCCCGTCGACGAGCGGCAACAGCTTGTCCGACAATTGGGCGAACGCCTGCAAAGAGAGCGCAATAACGTAAATGAAAGCATTCGACGAGGTTGGATCGGATTGTTGTTCATCCGAAGAGATAATCGTTCGTACCTCGTAGATAGGCAGGCAGATCGAGTCGATGAAGCCGACTTGCATCATCGGCAGTTGGTCTTGCTTCTCCCGATTCATGATGTCCTGCAAAGTCCGAGTGTTCGCATTAGGTCCGTTTCACACGGTAAGTCGGACGTCGCTGCTGGATATCGGTACGTCGGCTGATGGTCCAACCGGAGAGAATTTCTTTCTCGAAAAGGAGTTCTCTCATTGGACCATCGACCATTGGACGACTGGTCCGGCTACTCACGATAGGCGTGATGTTGAGCGTTTTCCTCTCTATGTCGCCCTGCTCGAAGAATTCTCGGCTAACGAGTTCGGCTACCCTCTTCTCGACGTCCCAGGGTTTCGTGATGGCGGCCAAATCGCAAACCGTCATCAGCATACCGCGCAGGAGCTCGCGGTGTTCGGTGTACGCCCAGTTATAAGCGCCGCCGCGCGCTATAGTGAGAAAGGCGCCGCGTTTCCGGAAGTAAACGGCCAGGTCGGTCGAGAGTATCGCTTCTTCGAGCACCTTCACCACGCGCGAGTACTCCTCCGGCGAAAGATTCGACAATATCTGATTGCCCTGGCTGCTCAGGATCATGAGGCACTGGTCGAAATGGTGGTGCTCCATCGTCGAGGTCGAGTACAGCTGCGCCAGTGGCGAAGAGGCTCTGTAAATGAGAAATTATTCTGTGGTAAAATGCCTGTCACACGCAAGAAGTACCGTAAGGCCCATACAAAAACGCGAGCGGTAAGCAAATGACCGTAAGGAGGATAATCCGGCTGTGATTGGTCAATTTCTTACCGCTTATGTTTTTCTATGTACCTCGGCTCTAAGTGTGTTTTATCGTTGGGGGAGAAATCGGCTTCTTATTAGATTTTCCGCACAAGAAATTTTCATTAAATAAAAATGTGAATTCGATTATTTTTTCGCGCTTAGATTAGCTTGTGTTTAGGTAAGGTAATAAAAACAGTGCGAAAATCGATGTCTCGCCTTTTGGTTCTCGCTACTGTTCTATATCATATCTTTGTTACTTAACTTTGTCAATCGATAAAATTATTACTATTATTATCTGGGAGTGTAACTTATGACACTCACTTAATTTGGAAGGAATTGTTCGTCCCACGATGGTCGAGGTCGTGACACAGGCAGGCAATGATGAGCGCGAGACACTCGATTTCACCGAAGATCTTCCACCACTGCGTAGCCTAGAGAAGGACGGCGCGATTATAGTCGCGAAAACGATCTCTCGATTATTACGATTTACTGGAAAGGAGTCTCCTCTCACCGTTAAAATGGCGAACATCATCTGAGCCACGTTGAAGGCGTGCCGCCAGTTGTGATACGTGACGTTTCGATAGTTCTTCTTCACGCTGAGCAGCCAACGACACAGCACCGTGTAGTCGATGTGAAACCGCTCGACGAAGTCCAAGTCGAGGAACATCCTGAGGCACGCGGAGAGGGTGTCGTCGTCTGTCATGTGCTTGTCGTCGAACTTGAAATCGTGCAGTTGAAAGTGCGCCGACGACGGGACCCTTATGGTCTGTCGAGCAGAGTGTAGCGCGCGTTAGAAGAGCGTCGGAAATGTCACAGCTGATCGACGCCAGCGGGGAGGGAAAAGTCGGAAGCGTACCAACCTTCAGTCTCTGGGCGTCTTCCAGCGACGCCGACGCATGGTAACTCAGTACTTCCAGAGTGACGCTCTGTTTCGCCATCGCTATCACAGCCTTTTCATACCTGCGAAACGGACGGGATTCGAGATTAGCTTAAGCCGACCGACGGGGAGGCTCACTATAGAGCGGAGATCGAGATGCAAAATAGCGAGCACACACTCACATGTGCGTATTGTGAATCCCCATTCCGCAGAATATCGCGAACGCCTCGACGAAGTTCTCGTCGTTCTTCGTGAACGGCAGGTCGTCGAACTTGTTGATCAGCTGAATGACACCGATTATCTGGCCGGAGGAATTCTTGATGGCCATGCAGAGTATCGTGCGATGCTTGAAGCCGGCGCCGTCGTCCACCATCGGGTCGAATCGCAGGTCTTCGTAAGCGTTCGGTATGTTAACGGTCTGAAAATCACTTTTACAGATCGTCTCGAGAGCTAATGCTTTCGCGCGTGTTCTACGGGGTGGTGCGCGCGTTACAATCCGAATGCAATACTCACTTCACCGGTAGTCGCTACGTAACCCGTGATGCCGACGTTAATGGGGAACCTACTTTCGAACGGACTGAAAAGGGGGAAGACGGGGCTGTTAGATTTCTCGAGCAAACTCCTCGAGGAGTGACGACGATTAGACGTAATTACAAACTTGATTCACCTAGTGCGAGAATCGGAATCCTCACCAGCGAGATCGTTCGCCTCGAAGTCGAAGACTCGCGAGAAACTCCCCTTCGAAGCTTTGTGCACGAGCAGCACCTGAAGGGACGACAATTGCGACATTAACGCGAATCATGCCTTTCTTCCGGCTCGCGCAAGAATCGTCATGCCTCTTCGATAAACGATCCCGATTTAGAGAATCAAATCAGAAGGGCGTGTAAGGGCCGGTTGTAACGGTGCGCAATTTTGGGACACAATAAACACTAAAAATGTAAATTTGGAAAATCCATTCATCGTTCGAATTATTCCGAGTTTCGGCCCTCATTTAAACTTCTTTCATCATTTGCACTTTTAATTTATCCTCTCGATCGAATGATCATTTTAAAGCCGTATATATATACATCTTTCGTGTCTTCATTTCCAGTCCAATTACCTGAACACGTTGGCATTGAATCAACGACTGCGTGTGCGTGAGGATCCTGAAGACCATGTGCTCTATCGTGCTTTGCTCCTCGAAGATCATCCTAGCTAGATCCAGCAGAACCTAAGGTCGATTTTTACAGAAAAATATAATACAATCCTTCTCTCTCGTCATTGCCGATCGCTCCGAGGAGATCGATTCTCCTACCTGATTCCTCTTCACCTCCAATTGGCTCTTTTCGTAAAGTTGCGCGTTCCTCAAGCCGATCCCGCAGAACTGCAGGTAACCGGCGAATACTTTCTCGTCCTGGGCGGTGAACTGTCCCTCGCCGCCGAGCTTGTTGATCACCTGCGCCACTCCGATTACGTCGCCGTTGCAGTCCTTGATCGGCATGCACAGCAAGGCTCGCGTACGGTATCCCGTTAACGCGTCGATGTCGCGGTTGAACCTCGCGTCCTGAGAACGTTCGAGTCCCTTTTCAGTCCGGTGCGCAAAGTTCGTTCGAGGATATTCCGAGCTGGAATTTCCCGGCAAGAAAAATCCTCGCGCGACGTACCGCGACGCAATTAGAGTGTGGGGGATATTAGAGAGAGAAAGAGGATGAGAGCGAAATCAAGATAAGACACTCGTCAGATAAGTTGAACTCGGCCTGCGTTTCTTATTTATGTCGGAAACGATGGTATTCCCTGATACGAGCGGGCGTTATGATTCATTCGACGAGATGCTCAACACGATCGATCGGCCGTGAAGCGCGCGTCGCGCTCTCGTTAGATAGGAGACTGATCGATCGAGAGAAAGGAGGGGGAGGCGGGGGTGTTACAGGCCCGCTTATCAAATTGATTTAACGGGAAACGGTAATTTCCGAGTCTTGCCTTGTAAGCGTCCGGTATGTTGACGGGTTCGCCGCTCTCAGCGACGTAGCCGACGATGCCGGTGCCCCACGGTATCTTGATCTCGTCCTTCTTCTCCATCTCCAGCAGCGTGGACCTCGAGCAGACGTCGAAGAGCTTCGACACCAGGCACCGGCTCCTCGTGTAGCACTGCTGGTCGTTGCACCGCGAGTTCTCGCCGTCGGGGCTGTTCGCGGCGGCGGTCTCAGCGGCCTCGTGATTCGGCGAGGAGGACGGCGGCGGCATCGCGCAGCTCCTCTCGCCCTGGACGAGGAAGAGCGAGCCACGGTCCGCGTGCAGCAGCGTGCTGACGTTCTGCAGGATCTTGTGGCAGAGCGATCTCACGTCCAGCTCGTGACAGATGTCTTTGACCTACGAGACCGACTCTCTTAGAGCGAAAGGCTACAGTAAACACAATCAGGGAGACTCACCAACTCAAAGATGAGGTCCTTCTCGTCGAGGTGCCTGAGCTCGTGCCTGGACCGCCTCTGCGGCCGGCTCGAGTTGCCGGATCCGACCTGCGGCCCGGTCGGCTGACCCGTGTCGCCCGGCGACACGCTCAGGAAGGTCGGCGTGCCGTCGATCGTGTTGACGATCGGCTTCAGGAGGCCGCCCCGCTCGAACTCGTGTGCCGAGATCTTGCGCACCGGCGTAGTCGCGCCGGAGCCGCCGGTGCCGCCGCGACCGGACGACGAGTTACCGGCCGCCACGCCGTGGGTCGGACTCGACAGCTCCACGCAGCTGCTGGACGATGACGTCGGCGTCGCGTGCGACACCAGCCACATATCCACGGTCTGTCGGGTCGCTTTCCTGCGGGCGGGAAGAGACGTTTCAACATCTTTCCGAGGAGGTAGGGACGCATTTAGAAACGCGAGACTCGATCCCTTCGCTTCCCGCCGATTCGAACGCGGAAAGAAGGAATATCAGCTGTTCCTACAACTGAAATTTCGTTACCAGACCTGAGAGCTGCGTTTCAATACTCGCTGCCTGAGTCTCCGGGAATCTCGAGTATACGTGACGTGAACTAGAAATATTCAATACCGGAAGTGAACATCGGGATGCAGCTCTAGTCTTTAAGTCACCTTCAGTTATATTGTATGGACGATGAATTTTCACCCGTCAGACATTTTTCGTTGTAGGAGATATTTCCTCTAGCTATGGGGGTTAATTTCCTTTTCCACGAAGAGAGAGATACCTGAGAAAGTAATCGTTGACGAAGTCGGGGTGCTCGTCGAGCCAAGCCTCCATACGAGCGTACTCGGGGTCGTACACCGTCGAGGTGGACGTGGAGGAGTAATAAGCGCTGACGCCGCCGCTGCCGCTGCTTCCATCCTGCACCTGTTGCAGCATGCTTTGGCTCGCCATGGCGCCCTGCGCCCCTTGCACCGCCTGCACACAGGGAGCCGCCGTCTCCGCCGTCATCCTCGGCTCCTCGATGCTCCGCAAGTGCAGGCCTGCGATTCATGAAAGAAAGGAATAAAAGATAATCGCGTTGACCGAAACAAAAAGAGAACGTCGCTCGTTGAGAGAGAGAGAGAGAGAGAGAGAGATTCCGCGCGGGGGCCGTTTACACACGGAGTTACAGCTTCCTCGGTTTTAAAATAAGAGAGCGGAGGCGGCGCGGGCGATAACATCGTTCCTCTTGAAAAATTAGACAAGCGTGTCCGCGGAAAGAAGAGGAAGAGGAAAGAAATGGGATGACGCGCGTGATTTCAGAGTGTCTACTCAAAGCCGAAAAAGAATCCCCCATTCCTTGGTTTTCCAGGCATATTATTAAAAATTCCCAACATGAGAGTATTTTTAAACGTATCTCGCAGATGAACGCATGTTTATCGTGCAAAGTTCTTAATATTTTCCATTCATAAAGGGAAAACTATAATTCCGAAATACAGTATGCATATACAGTATACAGAGATTCGTCGAAAAACAAATCTTCTTGAGAGTATCGCGAACACGTCTAGATGTAAAATGTGAAATGTTTAGTGTACAAATGTTTAATAAATTAATCATTAATCATTAATAATTATTATTAATTATTAAGCAGTGTTTCGGGGTTTTATAACTTTTGATTATTTCGAAAAAGTTGATTTTCGCAAAATTATAATCTATATAATCTACATAAATCGTAGACATAAGCATCAACATTCTATATACGTATATATTCAAGGTTGTTTTGTCTTTAAGTTTCTGTTTACTATTTAAATATTAGTATTTCTCTTATATTTATAAGAGATTATAGTCTGTTCTATATCTACATATATAATTTAAACGTTTAATTATATTGTTCTGATGTTTAGAGCAAACTGATTTGGAAAATATTAAGGACATTGTATAATAAATTATCTTGATATTTCGGGATTATGACTTTTCGAAACGTTACTTTGTGCTTCGAATTTCGGTTTTTTGACGATAATGCATGTCCACCGTTTTTGTCTGCAATTCTCAATGAAGAAAATATTATTAACCCTTTGCACTCGAGGGCTCCGGAGCGGAGCCATTTAAAATTTGTCTTCAAACTCGAGGGCTCCGCTATGGAGACAATGCAAATAACTTTCAGTTCATAACATAAGGACAAAGACAAATCGTAAAAACTATTGTGTATAGGATATTCCGCTCTTGCTATTTGCATTGTCTCCATAGCGGAGCCCTCGAGTGCAAAGGGTTAAATCAAATTCAGTCGATTACATAATATTTTCCTATGAAGAACGCGAAAATGCCAAACAACGTTTAAAGTTCCCCGATTTTTGATAAAATTCCCTGAGAATTCTCTGATCTTTTCCAGGTATAAACAAATTCCCTGAAAATTCCGGGGTTTTCAAGTTTTTCCAGGCAGTAAACAATCTGGACTTCGAGTCTTAAGGTATTCATTTATGCGCGCGTATTTTCTCGCCCGACGACGACGACGTAGCGATTCCGTCATGCACGCTCGTCATTCGCACGCACGCACGCACGCACGCACGCACGCACGCACGCACGCACGCAGGCATGCGAGCGAGCGAGCGAGCAACAGTACGACGGTCGACATCGCGTATGTCGCGCCGCGGGAACGGATATTGCACATCAAAGGAAAACCACGTAACGTCACCGTCGCCTCGCGCTTCCCCACGCCGTGCGCGCGAAGGTAGTGTTGTTGTACGGCGAGAACGGCGTTACTCGTTCGTCACGCGTCCAAAGTATAAGGCTGGCTCATATTTTATTCGCCGCGCGTGCCGCGGAGGCAGCGGACGAGAAAGAGCGTTCCGCGCGGACTTCATCGGCGCGCGAGCGCGAACCGCTTATCTCGCGAGACCGCGCGACAGCTCCCCCGCGTGCTTTCCGCGGGATTTCCCGGCAGCGCGAGGAGCCTAAAGTCCTTCGAGTCTGACTATCATCGACTATCATCGACTTCTCGCTGATTGTCGTCTACTTTCTCACTTGATCAAGAGTGACGGGGGACTGAGGATTGTCAAGTAAATTGACTCCATTTGTAACTATCTGTTATTCTAAGATGGGAGATATAATAATAATAATAATAAAAGTTAACTTCTATAAAATTAAAAAAATCGATTTTTGTTGAAAATAAATATTATTGTACGGACGAACATTACACAATTTTGTGGTAATTTTTACTATGATACCTTCTCCGTGTATGAGTGTTCACATTGACCTGAATGACAAATGTGTGACGGATAGTACGGCTTGCGGCAGATGCCCAGTATAAAATTAAGTGATAAGCAATTACATGTAATAATAGATAAATGATCTTGTAATGACATGCAATAATAATAATTTTAGCATTCAAAAAAATAATTATTATCATTATAATTATCATATAATAATAATTATTAATTTGTATATCCTTAAAAAAATGAAACGCCCGAATGAAACGTCTGAACTCGATATATTGGTTACTTTCCAACAAGAGACGCAAAAGTCTAGTTGTATCATCATTTGTCCTTATTTCGCCTGAGGCAAAGAACAAGACAATAAATGATGTAACTAGACTCATGTCGACTTGCGTCTCTTCCTGAAAAGCAACCATTATACACGCTCTTCATTAATAAAAAGATATTCTAGTGACGAACCAGACACCGTTCTTGATAATTAAAAAAAAAAAAAGAAAAAAAAGCCGGAGGGATGGCCAAACTCTTACTTGACGGACTCTAGTCCCGACCCCGCTCCCGGTAATTTAACGTACGTGTCATACATGACGAAAAACAGCCGCGGATCGACACCACCATCTTCTCCGCCACCCCACCACCACCACTATCACCACCTTCGACACCACTCTTCTTCTTTTTCTTTACGCGAGCCGCGGTACCGGTATCGGATCCGTGCGGAAAAGTCGAGGACTCGTCGCGGAAAGCACAGGCGACGGGCGTGCGTGCGAGAGAGCGTACGTGTAATCGAAATCCGTGGAAAAACACGAGGCGACACGACACGAGTTACCGGGTAAATTTCCTACGGGAGGAGCGCGCGGCGGCACTCTTCACGGATGAGTTACCCGCGTCGCGTTGGTCCTGGCTCTCATTCGATCCGCCGATTACGGACTACAGGCTGGTCGACTGCACACGGATGTCGCCGCGATAATCGACTAGAGCGGAGTAGTCACGTAGAACATTAGCTTTTTCGACGCGCTTGATATATCGGACTGTCGCGGGAATTCCTGCGGATTTTTCCCTCGTTCCTTCTCTCTCGCTCTTCCTCCTCGCATTGTCCGCCATGAGAGCCCGCGGATGAATATTTACGCCGTTCGCGTTCTTTTCGCAAGTCGCCGCTTCGAGCTCTCGGGAAACACGAGCGTACGACCGGCGTTTTCGAAAGCTTCGACGCACTGACTGCAAAACAGACCGACGCTCGAGACGCTTTCCGGAGTTATATACGATTCTGTTCGCTTCATTTTGCAATAAGAAATCTCTGTACGAATTGCGCTGCGACGATCCGATATTCTCTCTCTCACTCACTCTCTTTCTGTCTCTCTCTCTCTCTCTCTCTCCCCCTCTTTCTCTATATTTCTTTTTTCCCGTGCGACTTTGCCGCACTCCTGCAGTCGATTCGAACGATACATTTTCCTTCGTGGGAAGGATTGCTTATCCGGAATCGCCCGGTAGAGAAAAATTGTTCCTCCACGCTGTGGAAGATCCAAGCTCGATTCACAGCGGAACGACGTGGTGGTGGTGCGCGCGTGGGTGGGCCGATGTTCCAACATTCCTTCATACTTCCGCTCCCCCTCCCCCCCTCCATCGTTGTTGTTAGTGATAATTTCAAACTCTTCGATTCTTACACGCGCGCTGAATATCGATAGCCCGTTTAGCCAAGTTACCCGATTGTATAGGGGCGCGCGACCGGTGTGCGAGCGCGACGCGCATCTTAACACCCGTTATACATATGTCGTGCGTGCGTCAGAGGAGAGGCAGCCGAACTGTAAAATGCGACCGCACGTTTGGAAGGAAACAAAGGATATTATCACGAGGTTTTGCGCAGCTTCCGTTTCGCGGCACGCGACCACGAGAGGCACACACGCCGAGTGGACGCTTTGAATACTCGCCGTTTTTACTTCGCACGTAACACAATCGAATAAATTTTCGATACGATGCGCGAGAACGTCGCTTGCTTTCGCCGTTCGCCGTGGCGGAGAAAAAGAGAGAGAGAGAGAGAGAGAGAGGGAAAGAGAGAGAGAGAGAGAGTATACGATAATCGTCATCGCGAAGATAGTGCAAGCCAAACAACTGAAATTAAAGCTTACGTTAAGCTACGACCGGCTGATAATCGCGCGCGCGCATCGTAAAATTCGATCGAATTATCTATGCGTCGGAGCGGCTTCCGATAACGCCACCACCACCCGTCACCCGGAGATACTCGCTCGTCGATATTTTCTCCATCGCTCCGACTCCGACCGTTAGACCACATTGTTTTCCCCGGCTCAAGTTCGGAAGTTTCTTTATATTTTCACGGAATACGGGAGAGAGAGAGAGAGAGAGAGAGAGAGAGAGAGGTAGAGCGGGGATTCCGCCGGCTCCTTCGCGCGAATATTTTTAGAAATCTTCTCTCGCCGTGAGTGATTAACACATCGCACTTCAGATGGAAAATTACAGTCTACTAGTAATCGCTACGGTAGTTAATAGTCATCCCAACGTGATTCTTTCATCCGCCACTTATCACATTTCAGCGTGCGCTGCGCCGAGCGCGCCTGCCGCTCCTGTTAGCGAATCTAATATGTCGGTGCTGTTATTATTATTACACACTATAATTCATGTCCCTCACTTTCGTGCAATTCGTACACGTACGTAATATTTTCCGCACATGTCGCCCATTTTTCTACCCCCCCCCCCATCCTCCTCACCCCGTTTCCCATTATTATCTCATATACCTTTAACCTTTCCATTTCGTCCGGCGGTGTTTACTCAGGACAACTAATTTTCCGCACAGGATATTTTCCCCCTCGGTGAAACGAATATAAGTAAAACAAAAGGGA